TCTCATTGCCTCCGAGAAATTAGGAAACTCTCCATCAACTAAAATGAATATTACATTGCTCTCCATCTTCGTCCTTTCCTGTATTCAATGATTTAAGTTATAGAAATACAAATAAGAAAATAGTAAAACAAGCACCTCTACTAAAACAATAAAGACAATAACACCATAATCACACGATAATAAAACCATATAGCTGCAACAATAAAACTCTTTTCAACGGTATAATAGCACAATAATAAAATCATAATAATACCACAATAACACCAGCATCTCTTGTTAAAAAAAATAACACTAGAATCTTGCAAAGATAATACTGCGGGAACACTATAAACCATTACCCTACAATAACACCAAAAGCAAAGACAATAAAACCATATAGCCGCAGCAATAAAACTCTCCTCAACAGTACAATAACACAAAAATAAAACCATAATAAAGCCACAATAACCCCACAATAACACCAACATCCCTCGATAAAAAAAAATAATAGGAGAATGCTGCAAAGATAATACCGCGGTAACCCTATAAACCATTACCCCACAATAACACCAACAACAAAGACAATAACACCATAATCACACAACAATAAAACCATAAAGCTGCAACAAAAAAAGTCTCTTCAACAGTACAATAGCACAACAATAAAATCATAATAATACCACAATAACCACACAATAAAACCAACATTCCTTATTAACAAAATAACATGAGAATACTGCCAAGATAATACCGTGATTACACTATAAACCATTACCCCGACCTAAATGCAAGCATAACATAAACAGCTACAACGACAACAACTTTGAATAAAATGAAAATCACTAAAGTAAACTCCGATAAACCCAGAGAAACAAATTGTTAAACACAAGTAATAATATGTTAGAACTATACCTCAAATAATAAACTAAAGTAATACTATTAAATCAACTTATTAAACCTCTGATAAACCCAGACAAATGCCAGAAGTATCCATAAAATCAAAAAATAAAACTCGCACAAGCCGTGGAACCCAAACCACAACAATGTCTTTAAAATAAAAAGAACATTATCCACGAAGCTAAACTCACTTGGATCCTGATGTCCTTCTCGTTGTCTTCATCAAAAATATTCTCAACGAAGCTAATCTCGCACAGATTTGGAAGTGGTTGTCGTTTTCTTTGTCGGTAGAGCAATCCTTTTCGGCAGCTCCAAACCCTAAAGTGTGAAACTAAAGTGGGGGAAAACCGGGAAAGGGGAAAACCGGGAAAGGGCCTAGGGCCTTATGCATTAAATTTTCAGGAAAAAGGAGTATCAGGCCTGATCGGGTGTCAAAAATTAGAGTTTTTAACATAAATAATATCAGTGAGGCCGGATTCCACGTGGCTATTTTTCATTCGGTACCGCATGTAGGACTTCATGCGGTACACGTACCGAATAAAATTCAAACAGAAGAGGGGTCAAGAAACGTTAAGATTGTGAAGCTGAATCGTTGATTTCGGCTATAAATTTGTCATATGAGGGAGGCAAGGCTTACCTGAGAGTTGAACGGTGGCGTCTTTATCAAGCGGAGGAGGAAGCAGTGTTGGTATTGTGTCAAGTCGAAGAGGAAGATGAAGGAGGATTCTTGATCGTGCCCTAGCCGAGTCAAAGAGGAAGTCGAAGGAGAAGAGTTGATCGTGCCCTAATCGAGCGTCGAAGAAAAAGAAGATGCGGTGACGAGCATCCGGAGTCGAAGAGGACGATGGAAGAGAAACTCATATATATACATATATGATTATATAAAATTAAATGAGATGATTTATTAAAATTTTAATAACATAATAAATATTAATATAAATTCAATTTTAGAGAAGTCGAAGTTGGGGCAAAATTTTATGAATTAAATGTTATTGAGATGCGTACTTGTATTTTTAAAGTATAGTAATAATTTATTTATTCTCAAATATATTTGTAAGAATCATGAAGAAAATTTGGATCATTTTTCTGTTGCTGCTCTCTTATTGTTGAATTTTGGGATATGGTTTTTACCTAATTCAACTTTTATGGTAATAGGTTGTAGTGTAATTCTATTGTCGGTTTGATTAATTTTTGAAAGAAGGAATGTTCTATCTTTTTTAGATCTATTCCTATAATAATTTTTTTGGTATATTTGGATTGCTCATAATGAATGGAAACACGAAGGTATATTGCTCTCCATTTATAAAAGCTTCTATCAAATTAAAGGTTTTGTTTATAAAATGTTGAAGTTTGAAAAGCTTAATCACTCCTATAGTTCGGGTGTTAAGTGTATGTTAAGTAAATTTAGCATTGCTTTGGCTCGTAAAGCTACTTCTGCTATTGAGTTGATTCGGTGGAAAGTTCCTGAAATTGGTTGTATTAAATTTAATACAGATGGTAGTTGGTCTCCTTCTACGACGGGTATTGGAGGTATTTGTAGAGATTATACTGGACATGGTATTATTTGGTTTTGGGCTCCTGTAATTACTTCCAACCTGATTGAAGCAGAAGCTGAAGCTGTGATTTATGTTCTGAAGCTGGCGGTAAGGTGTGGTTGGACTAATATAGCCATTGAAATGGATTCTATTTATTTTTGGTCCTTTTGTTGCAAGAAAAAATTTTATCCATGGAATCTTATTATTCCTTTGAAAATAATTTATGCTCTTATGGAAGGTATTCAGTTCAGTTTGCTCTTTATTGATTGAGAAGGCAATAAATGTGTGAATGGAGCGGCGAAGCATAGTTTAAGAACTCAAAGAGTGTTTTTCTAATGTGTTGCCTTCAATCCTTGCTTGTTTGGTTAGGGGTGATATGCTTGATACTCCTTTTATTCGTGTGGTTTACTGTATTGTTATTTTTTATTTTTCTATGTGGGTTGTTTGTGGCTTCAAGTACTTAGGTTTTTTTATTTGTTGAGTGAGTTGTGTTGGTTTTTCTTTCTTTGGGGTTTAGATGTACTTTTGGCCACTCCCTTGTAATCTTTTTTTTATGGAATAAAATTAGAGTCGTATAATGCTCTTTATTAAAAAAAATATTTGTTGTTGATGATATTTGCATGTGTTATTCTGATTGAGGTATTATTTTCTTTATTGGTCATATCATCATGGATGTTGTTATTATTTACTCATGTATTTTGTGTATGTTTTATACAGTATGTTGAATTGAATGCTATGCAAACATATGTTTATGTTGACTGCTTGTATGTGCATGACTGGCTATAACGGAGCACACCTTGATGGTACTAGTAGGGGAACACTAATGTATCCATGCACGTAAATATAAAAGGATTTTATTATTGATGTGTCTTAATTGACACAATTCTTAGACGGTGCCACTATGACGATAGCATAGGTATGAAATGACATAGACCCCTTTGAATAACATGTCAAATGTTTATATTAATTTATAAAGAAGCTTGACTGACACGTATATTGTTCTTATTTTTTCTTGTATTGTTGTAGTGTAAAAGTATGAGCATTCACTAGCTTCAGCTAGCTCACTGTTGTTTTAGCTAACGTTTCAAGTTTAACTAAGTTTTTAAAAGATCAGCAATAGACGAAAAAACATATATAAAAGACGTGGACAACCATCATTGTATTTTTAGTTGTCAATAGGATAGTATTATTATGAGTAAAAGTATCGGGAACGTCCACTCAATTTATATCTATAAATATTGTATTTAGGAGTTTCAATTAGAGACATTTGAGATGCTCAAATCCACAGACCTATTAAAAATTATTAAAAAAAATTAGATAAATATGTGCAAGGTTCCAATCTAATTTATAATCACGACCTATAAGACAACCGGGGTTGTTTGATGAGTAGTGTGTAAGAGAAAGCCAAAAAGGGAGAGAGTATAAAAGAGTCAAGGTATTGTTAGTTGAGAATGACACAATGAGGCTGAATATCAAAAGCAGCTAAGTGTGATTAAACGAAGAAGGTGTGAAACATGAATAACAAAGGTTAAAGAGAATTAGGAGTTTGAGATGCTAGGAATTAAGGGTTAAAAAATTAAATGGATTATTCAAGGTTGTGACAAAAACATGTGAGAGTTTGCATTGATCTTACTTTCAAGTTATTGTAATCATATGCTCACCACATTTGATATTGGTGCACGAGGTGTAATTTATGTGCCTTCACATCACCTCTAAGTTCTACCAAGTGCCAAAAAGTTGTTAATCCGTATATTGAATATTTACATACATGTGACATAAATTTTATGTATTTATATATCTAACACCTAAATTTTC